TTTTTTTGTGTTGTTGTTGTTTTTTTGGTACTGGGGATTGAACTCGGGTCCTTGCACTTGCCAGGCAGGTGGCGGAACCACCGAGCTAAATCCCTGGCCCATCTTTTCTGTTTTTTTTCTTTCTGCATTCTTATATGAAACTTAGCCTATATATCACTGTTGTTTGATTTTGTTTCATTTTTTGAGACAGGGTTTTACTATGTGGTTCAGGCTGACTTTAAACTCACTCGGTAGCCCAGGCTGGCCTCATACTTGTGGCAATCTTCCTGCCTCAGCTTCCCAAGTGCTGGGATTACAGGCATGCATCACCACACCCAGCTTTCACAGACCTTACATGTATTTATTCTCTCAAGAGTCTGTGGCATAAGTATTATTACTGTTTACATAGGCATTACTTTTAATAAATTAAATTAAAATATTATGCACGTGATAATATGGCCAAACGAATAGGATATTCAGTGAAAAGTAAGCCTCTTTCTGATCTCTAGCCCACAGTTTCCCTTTCCCAGATGTCCCTCAAGAGATCATCTTTGCATAATCAATATAAGTATTACCACACCCATTTCACAGATGGGCCAAATCAGACTCTGTCCCAAATCAGAGTTGTGGGCCCCAGATCGCCTCTTAACTTCTTTTTACCACCCTAGGCTTATGGATATCCCCTGGCTGGTCTTCATGGAGAAATCTTTCCTGATCACCACTCTGAATCCCAGAGCAGCTGCTATCGCTCCATGGATAGCATGAGAGGCCTTCTGTGACCACGTGTAACTGGCCATCATGGGGAAACTGATCAAGATAGGGCTGCGGAAGAGGCAGTTACTCCATCCAAAGAGGTTCCGTTGGAGTCGCCTCCTCTTCCTATTGGGAATGTTGATCATCGGTTCTACCTATCAGCGCCTAGGGCGACCTCGGGCCCTGCTCTCACTGCGGGCAGAAGTCTCTTCCCAACAGCCTATAAAACTGGTCAGCCGGGACCTCCCCAGTGATGAGATGGTAATGGTGAGCAGTGAGCCTCCAAAAGCTAGCTCTGGAGTGGAGGGTGGGATGAAAGCATCCCAAGCTACAGTGGGCAGGCGTCAAGTACCGCCCAGCAGGACCAGGGAGAACACCCCCAGTCCACCCAGAAGAACAGCCAAGATCATTCCAACAACATCAAAGAACACTCACAGCCTGACAGCAGCAATTTCAGAGAGAACAAAGGAAAACACCCCAACCACTAGAGTACTGAATCGTGACACCCCAACTTCAGACAGACCACCAGTAAAAAATGATACCCTGACCCCCAGGGAAGAAATGCAGAGGTACAGCCCAACTCGAGCCAGGAGAAAAGGAGAGCGGCACACACCCTTCCCGGTGAAGGGAACAGTACACATTTTCACTCCGTCCACATTCATGACAATGGAGATGAGCCACGGGGTCACCCCCAGCACAATAGCACAAGACAGTGAAACCAGGGCAAACTATGAAATATCGGAGACCAATTCTCCCAAGAGAATAGTGGAAGAAAGTACCCCCATCACTCTGAAGGGAACAGTTAGCAACAGCCCAACTAGCCCGACACACAATGCAAAAACAAACATCTTGACTTCTCCAAGGAATTTACTGGAAAAGGATGCCCTGAGTAGACCCAGAAGAAGGGAAAAGAACAGCTCTGCCAGCCCTCGGATGTCACTGGGAAAGAACAAGCTGACAACTCCCCAGGAAGCACCCTTGCAGCACCTCACAGTCAGCACTGTGACAGGGAACAGCCCAGTAGACACCAAAGCCTCTGCTGCTGCCTGGAGTGTTACGAACCCCTGGCCCCAATCCCGCTCACCCACCGTCGAAACAGCATCAGCCACCCTCTGGGAGGTGGCAAAGAAACCTTTCACAGCATCCAGCACTTCAGTATCCCCCAAAGTCAGGGCCGTTCTGACCACCCAGGTCCGGCACTGTGTGGTTGTGGAGCCAGCTCCAGCCACACCCCACACCCCATCCCACAGCCCGACAACGGCCCTGCTCCCAGGGGTGCCTGGTCCCAGTCTCTCAGCACCACTCCCTGGCTGGCCAGAGCCCCACCCCAAGTCAGAGTACCCCCTGGACCTGTTCAGTGTGGATGAGCGGCGGCAGGGCTGGGTGGTCCTGCATATCTTCGGCATGGTGTATGTGTTTGTGGCCTTGGCCATCGTATGTGATGAGTACTTTGTCCCAGCCTTGGGCATCATCACGGACAAGCTGAAGATCTCTGAGGATGTGGCAGGTGCCACATTCATGGCTGCTGGAGGCTCTGCCCCGGAGCTCTTCACTTCCCTCATTGGAGTCTTCATTTCCCACAGCAACGTGGGCATCGGTACCATCGTGGGCTCTGCCGTGTTCAACATCCTCTTCGTCATTGGCACCTGCTCCCTCTTCTCCCGGGAGACCCTCAACCTCACCTGGTGGCCGCTGTTCCGTGATGTCTCCTTCTACACCCTCAACCTGTCCATGCTCATTGTCTTCTTCCTGGACAGCCTCATCGCCTGGTGGGAGAGCCTGCTGCTGCTGCTGGCCTACGCCTTCTACGTGCTCACCATGAAGCGGAACAAACAGATTGAGGTCTGGGTGAAGGAGCAGCTCAGCAGGAGGCCAGTAGCCAAGATCATGGCTCTGGAGGACCTCAGCAAGGTAAGGACGGGCAGGTCAGGCTTCTCTGGCCCTTGGGTGGGATGGCTGGGGAAAGCTCAGGACTGGAGAGTAGTGGGGCTGGGTTAGACATCCAAAGATGGGTGCTCGGGCTCACTTGCTATTTCTTCAACATTTCCAGAGTGCTGGAGCTCTGCCAGCCTCAGTGCTGCAGCCTTTGCAAGTGTGACCTTGGCCCCCACCCCTGCTCAACTATAAGTAGTTATTATTATTATGATCCTCATTTGCAGGAGAGGCAATTTAGGTCTAAGGAAGTTAACTGTTTGCTCAAGGTCACACAACAAATAGGCAGCAGAGCTAGGATTGGGACCCCAGCAGTTCTGGCTGGATCTTTGGAAATGACACTTGAGTTGGACTTTGGAGAATGTCCAAGGAGATACCAGGCAGGAAAAAAAATGATCATTTCTTCCACGTGCTTGGGGTGCGGGGTTTATGCCACACCCCAATTTTCATTTAATACTGTTACTTCACATTCTAGACCTGTGCACTGGGGAGGGTGCGTTTGGCTTGGATGGGGTCTGGGAAGAGGAAGGGTTTTTTATTTATGTTCTTCAATACTGGGAAAGGTGGGAGGTCCACTCATCCACCAACAAGCCAGCCTTGGGGGCAAGACCCACTCTGTGTGTCAGCTGGCACCCAGACACCAGGACACCATTCATAGGGCTTCCTAACCCAAAGAGCTCTTCTTCCCCCTTGCTGAACACAACTAAGTGTACCAGGTGATTCAGTAACTGGAAGGTGAGATTAAATTGGCCAAGTAATCTCTGAAAATTTATCTCAAAAGTTTTTGTTCTTAGAAACTCTGGAGGTATCTAAGGAACAGAGACCCCATTTCTGTCCTGCTCCTTATGTGCAAAGAGTACAAGGACTTAGCTTCTTAATCCAGAATAGTTTTGATGAGTGAGCAGGACAGAGACCAAACTCAGCAGCATGTCTGGGAGATACGGGGCCAAGGGACATCCAATGAATATTCTGTGGGATTTTTGAAATAACATGACGTTCCGGTCAGAGCACCAACTAGAGAGCTGGACACCAAGATTCTAACCCAATTCTACTTCTAATTAGCTGTGTGACCTTGGACAGGTCCCTTCCCCTCTTTAGGGGAAATGAGAGTCTACCTTGTCACCCATAGGTCCTGTCAAGTCTGACAGTCCATGATCATGTCTTGTGTCTACATGATCCAGTTTGGGCAGGCCCCAGGACAACGACTATTTGAGCTGACGGACTGAGCTCCTCTGCCTGCTTTGCAGATGGCCAGTAAGGCCCAGGGCCACAGAGCCAGCGAGAGTCAGAATCCAGCTTCTTCTCTCCCCATTCTGCACTCTTTCCCATTTGACAGCTGCTCCAAGGAAGCCACAGGTTTAAAAAGAAAGGGAGGCTCAGAGAGTTGCATACTTTTTTTTTCTTTGTTTGTTTTTTGAGACAGGGTCTCACTAATGTAGTTGAGACTGACCTGGAACTCACTATGTAGCCCAGGCTGCAAACTCACATAGTGATCCTCCTGCCTCAGCCTCCTGAGTGTTGGGATTACAGGTGTGCGCCACCATGCCCAGCAAGAGAGTTGCATACTTTTAAGATGAGGAAGCTGGAACCAACCTCCTTCTTGGCCAAATTCTCAGGGCTGGCTGGCAAGGGGTGGCTCTGAAACCCGGGTCTCTCCTCTAAGAAAAGCCATGACGTACATTAGGCTGCCAATTGTCAAAATGCCTCTGGCTTGCCTCCAGGTCTTTTGTAGTAACTCTGCTTTTATTTAAACTCCACAAATTCTGAACTTCCTATTTTATCAGAGTTAGATGCTCAAAGCAAACCTTGCCAAGCTGTAAAGCACAATTATTTCAAAGGAGAACGTGTAACCTACTTAAGAGACTTCAAGGGCTTTGTTAGCAGCTTTTTGCCAACCAGTAAGCAGGGTGCTGATTGTATTCGTAATTATTTGTTGAAATGGATCTAGGATGATTTTTAATTGGCAGCATTATTATTATTGTTGTTGTTATTATTATTTTTTGCAGTACTGGGGATCAAACTCAGGACTTCGCACTTGTGAGACAGGCATGGCGCCACTGAGCTAAATCCCCACTCGGTAGCATTATTTTTAAATAGTAAGCTGAATTTCTGTCTATACTTGAAAGTAAATCCATTAAAATTAAATTAAAATTAAATACTTATAGCCATGATTTACCACTACTAGTGTCCATATTCTAAAAATTAGTCCAAATAACTCAAGAACCATTGCTATTTATCATCAGCATCATCATCACTTGGTTAAGACAGGGTCTCCCTTTGTTGTTCAGACTGGCCCTGAACTGACCATGTAGCCTACACTGGCTTCAAACTCCCAGCAATCTTCTTGCCTCAGATTCCCAAGAGCTGGGATTACAGGCGTGTGCCTCCACACCGGGCACAAGAGTTATTTGGGGGGTGGGTACCATGGATCAAACTCGGGTCCTTGTGCTTGTGAGGCAGACAGTGGAACCACTGAGCTAAATCCCTGGCCCCACTATAGTTATTTTGGAAGATTTTAAATACTTGCGAACTTAAATTCCATCCTAGGGTTTCTTATAGCTAGAGAGAGGAAACCACCTTTGCTTGCATTTTTATGTCTATGTCTGGATGGCCAAGGTCTGGTTTGAGAGAAATAAATTATACCTCGTTTCACTGGTAATCTGGGGCAAGCCATTGTGTTCTGAATTCCAGAAGCAATTCTACAAAGACCCAATCTTTGACTTAGTAAACCATGATGGTTTTCATTTTTTTTAATAGTATAACATGTGTCCCCACCCCTGTAGAGCAATTTGACTATGAGACTTTAACTGGGAAAATGAACATACTTTGCTCAAACCCTTCCTCACACTTACAGTTCACGCCTCTCCCTGAGAATGGGTCCTATGTTGAAGCATCACCTAGGGAAGGAAGGGGCCAGGGCTTCAAAGAGGTCAGAGAGCAAAGCAGAGAGGCAGACAGAGTGGGTCTGGGCAGAGCTGCAGAGCCTGGTGGGGGTGGGGACATGGGGGGTGAAGTCATAGCCACAGCTGCTTGGGAAGTCAAAGCCTGGGACAGAAAGAGGACAGCATGTTGGAGAGACACACAGAGAGAAGGACACCCAGGCTTCCCACTTCCTCTCCATCAGTCTGGGGGCGAAGTGGAGAAGGGATGACACTATGTCAGATTTGTCACTGCCACTAAGCAGGGAACAATCTTTGTATCTCCCAAAGGGCTGAGCCTAGCATTTTACCCTACCAGAAGCTCCAGAAATATTTGCTGCTGTTGTCTCAGAAACACCTAACAGCTCAGGGTTTTGAGTTTCAGGAGAGAAGGAGTTGGAGAAGGAATCCATGCTCAGGGAGGTCTGTTCCATACATTCGGTTGATTTCTCAGGAGACCAAGGTTAGCTTGCTATCCCTGCTTTGCAGATGAGAAAACAGAGGCTCAGAGGGGATAATTAGCTCCTGTGAAGGAAACGTGATGAAGCTCAGAGGTTAGTAGACCTTTTTTTGGTACACAGTGAATATTTTAGGCTCTGCAGGACATGCGGTCTTCCGTGATGCCTACTCAACTCTGTCCCTGTGGTGGGAAAGTAGCAGCTGACCCATAAACAAATAAGTGGGCATGGCCTTGGGTATTTTCCTAAGAGCAACTCACTCACAGGTGTTCTCCACCAAACAACCAGCGTACACAGTCAGTAGCCAACAATTCATTTCTTACTCAGTATTTACCCAACTCCTGTTGGTTGAGTTCCTGAGCTGAGGGGCCTTTTACTTCACTTCTATTCAGAGTCAAAATAAAGGGTTCTTTTTTGGGGGGAGGAGGGGTTCAAATCAGAATTCACTTAATAATACAGAAAAATTAAGTGATTTAATATTGATCATAGATATTTATAATGGTGCTTTAGAGTCTCTTTTTTGATATTGGCTGAAAAAAAGAGGATTTGAAGCTAGCTAGGTATACTGCTACACACCTGTAATCCTAGCTACTCTGGAGGCTGAGGCAGGAAGTTTGCAAGTTTGAATCTAGCCTGGGCAACGTAGCAAAAAGGGATAAAAGCCAGGCAATAAGCTCTGTCTGAGCCCTTTTAGAAACCCTGTGTCCACAGTTCTTCCTTAGTGTACCCGAGAATGTGAAACCCCAGGGGAAAATCTGCCATCCTTTCCTGAACACATTCAGGCTATTTTCTTTGGGGCAGGACTTCTTTTATAACATCAAGCAACAAGGCTCCACGTAGACAAACCCAGTGCCTCTGTAGGGGGCTGGTTCTCCCATTTTATTTTATTTTTATTTATTAATTTATTTATTTGGTACCAGGGATTGAACTTGGGTCCTTGAGCTTGCGAGGCAGGCAGCGCAGTCACTGAGCTAAATCCCCAGCCCTGGGCCTCAATTTTGATGCTTATCTCGGGGGTCCTAGTAGTGGCCTAAACACAGGAAGCTGTAGATAGGAAGCTGCCACTGGACCTCTCCTCTACAAGCTCCACCCATATGAGGTGCCAGGGAATCCACTGTGCTCCCAAAGAAGCCATCCTTGACATCGAGTCCTTGTCAGCTTCTCCCCAGTTGTCAGGAAAGACAGGAAGAGTGGAATTCTAAATCACTTGATTTTTCTTTTGCTTTGTTTTTGAGACAGGGTCTTCCTAAGTTACCTAGGCTGATCTTGAACTTGATCCTCTTGCTTCAGCCTCCTGATTAGTTGGACAAACGGGCACGGGCCATTGTCCTTGGCCAAATTCTCAATTTTAAGATTACTGTTCCTCATACTATTTACTTAAGCTTTCAGGGTTCACCTGGTAGGGCACGCTAGCTGATGACAAAATGAATCCACAAGAACAAAGAAAAACAGAAAAATAGTGGCTGTGTCCAGTACAACAGTCTGTCATTTTCTGGACACGTATGTGACTGTAGTTGAGATTTTCCCTGCACGCATACAACACAGCAGTATTTTCTTCCGGTGCATACGATGCATTGAATATGAAATCAGACATCCATGGTGTTCTACAAGGAGCAGCATGATTTCTAGATTCTCTGTCACTCAAACCAGTTAGAAATATAAAACCCATAAACAAGTTCTTATGGTGAGTGGATAGGCATATGGATGATAAATAAAATAAATTAAGCAGGGGATTTAGCTCAGCAATTCAGTGGCCTGCCTTACAAGCACAAGGACCTGAGTTCAATCCCTGGTACCAAAAAAAAAAAAAAAAAAAAATTAAGATGGTAATTTATTTTAATTTTTTTTGGCTTTTTGAGACAAAGTCTCACTATACAGTTCAGACGGGCCCTTGAATTTACTATGTGCCCAGCCTGGCCTTGAAATCTTAGTGATCTTCCTGCCTCAGCCTCCCAAGGGCTGGGCTGACAGGTGTGCACCACCACACCCAGCTAAGATGATAACTGTGGCGTGCATGTGACAGAACACGATTGCACAGTGAGCCTCCTTCGGTGAGGGAGGGCAGAGGAGGGCTTTGGGGGAGAGCTGGTCCAAGCACAGATCTGCAGAATGAGATGAGAACTGGGTGAGAAGTCTCGGAAGAGGGAGCAGCATTTGCAAAGGCTCAGGGCTGAGAGGAGCTTGGCGCAGTGTGGCAAAGAAAGTGGGGGGGGTGGCTAGGACAGTTGGTTCATAAGCACAGGGAGGGTGGGGCAGGGCAGCTGGGGAGGAGGGTGGGAGCTGGGGATCAGATACGGAGTTTGCATTTTATTTGGTGCTCACTGGGAGAACAGTGTAATGAGCCCCCATTTAAAACGCCGCTCCCTAATTGCTGTGCAGAGACTGCATCATGGACGCGCAAGAGAGGAAGCAGGAAGAAGCAGGGAGGCCAGTTAGGGGGCTGCTCTGAGCATCCAGCAGTCGACACACACAGGGGTCCCCACGTGTCTACGGATACATTCAAAGGCCCAGCGGATGCCTGACTTTATGTATAGCATTCACTTTACTGCTTCTCCTTGACATACCTGAATTCCCAGCTTCAAGGCTCTTGCACTTTGATGCCTTTTTAAGATAAAAACAGAGTCACTTGCACGCAAGCACTCTGCTGCTAGACCAGTCACTCTGATAACCAAGACAGCTGCTGAGCAACTATGGATGGACAGCATATCCTGCACAGACACACCGTAATACTTCATCATGTCACAAGTTAAAAACTATGAATTGTTTATTTCTGGAAATTTCCATGTAATAATCTTTCGACCACAGCTGAAACAAAGGGAGATGAAATTGGATGGGTAGAGACTGCTTGCTACACACACAGACACAAAGACACACAGACACACGTACACGCGCACATGATTACCACGTATATATTTAAGAGGTGTTTTGAAGACAGAATCATCTGGAGATGATTCTGGGGGAGGTCACAGGGGTACTGGTCCCACCACCGAGAGGAAGGACAGGTTTAGGTACTCAGGGTCTCTCACTCTGGAAAAGTGAGTTGGGTGTCTGTGTCCCCACCAAGTGGATTTGTCCAGGAGGCAGTGACCCAAACAGGCCTGAAGTTTGGGAACAAGGTCTGCGCAGGAGGGAGAAATCTGTGTCATTAACAAATGTGCAGCAATTGCCATCAATAGCTGACAGGCACTCTGCTGAGAGAGCAAGATAGTCCAGGACTTAGAGCTAAAAAACCCTAGCATTCATTCATTTTGACTCCTCCCATGTGAGGCCTGTGTCAAGCCTGGATACAGTGATTAATAAGGCCCAGGCCCTACTCTCAAGGAGCTCACATTAATGGAGGAGCTGGAGTTGATCCAAGCTTTATGGGAACTGATCCTCATTAGGAAAAAGAATATATTAGCGGTGCTACAAAATTAGACACAAATCTTGGAAGGGATATGTGTAGGGGAGAGATAGGTCCTGAAGCTTAAGCTTCATCAGTGCCACAGTAAATCCTTCTCAGGGGGAAAGGGAGTAAAACCAATACTTGCAGGACAACATGGAAGGTGAGTGCTCAGGGGTTTCAGCACTGCTGAGAGAGGACATCTGGGCCAGCCAGAGAGTCAGGGAAGGTTTCCTGGAGGAGGTGATGCTTAGCCAAATCTGGGAGGACAGGCAGGTGTTCACTGACTGAATACGGGGCCAGGGTCTTGCCCGTGCATGCAGAGGACACAGGAAAGAGAGTGAGGAGAGACTATAGCTGTGCTGGCCATTTTGGTGGCTACTAGCTACATTCAGCCAGTGTGCTGGCCAGTTCAATTTTTTGAGATGTGCTGTAAATATAAAACAGGCACCACGTTTCAAAGGCTTAGTATGAAAAAAGGTTGTAAAATACTTCAATATTTTTATACTAATTTCATAATGAAATGTGTGTGACGAGACATCTTCAGAAAATACCTTCTTGCCAGAATCACTGTGGACCCGTCAGCTACGCCCAAATGTAGACAAACTTCACACCCATTTCCCTGAAATGTCAATAATTTGGAACAGAGTCATTAGGGAATATAGATTTAACATCAGTTCCCTATTTATGTGTGGGAAAAGAAAGGAAACTTAGTAAAAACAAACAACACGCACCCGCGCGCACACACACACACACACCCCAAAAATTTCAGACCAAAAATACGAAACCCATCTCAGTGGAGAGCAGGTAATCAGGAGGGTTTTGCCACTCTGTGTGAGTGTGGATAAGTTATGGGACCTTTCTGAGGCTCGGTTTCTTCATCTATCACGATGGCCTTGTCTGTTTCACAGAGTTGCTAGGAATGACTTCCAAAACTTGGAAGTCCAGACTGAGGTTAGCCAGGAACAATGAGCCCAGAGAGAAATATTTTGGTCTGGATAAATCTAAATGGCAGAGAGTACATTAGGGCTGTGGCCATGGGCAAAAATCAGCTCTCTTAAGATCTCAGTGATGAATGTAACTGTGCTGTATACATATAGGTACCAATAAACTCAAAGAGAGAGAACAAAAATCAGCTCTCTTGCTCCTCTGTGGACAAAGCCAAGCAGCCCCAAGGGCAGCTCAGCCCCACACACTTCTCTGTCTCTAAAGAGAACTCAGGGGGTGGGGGTTGGGTGGGACAAATAATGAGATGGCTTGGATAGTGGGGGTCAGCGCAGGGGCCGCCTTCCTCTGTGCCAGTATCCTTGCAGGTGTGTCACGAAAACCTTAAGGGGTGTGTTAAAAGCGTACAGCGCCCCCTTCAGATTCAGATTGGGTATTTGTGCTCTGCCTCACAGTAGAAACTCTCATTGATTCAGCAGCGTGCATCCAAGCACACTTCACCCTTCTCAGGTTTTACCTTCTGCCGAAAGCCTCCCTGGCCCAGCTCACTACAGTGCCTTTGTCTCTACCTTTCATACCATGAACTGCACTCTGCTTTGTCTTGCAGCTGTGCTATATTTGTTTCTGGTACTTTCTGGACATGAAGGCCATCCTGGACTACATAGTGAGATCCTGTCAAAAAGAAAGAAAAAATAAAATAAAAAGAACTCAAAGAATGAATCAGGTGGTGGGAGGGTGGCCTGGAATCACGCACTATTTTTTTTTAACATTTTCTGGGCCCATTTGTGGTTTAGTAATGGAGGCTGGTGGACGGGAAGGTAAAAATGATTACTGCAGCAGCCATGAGTGACTGGGCTGCCTAAACTCAGAACCAGAGGCCACTTGGGAGCAGCTCACTTGGGAGATCCCCTCACATTCACTGTGTAAAGCATCACAGGTCAAGGGAACCAAGATGACGATAGCACAAGTTTACTGTGCTAGGTAGACAATTCATGGATGGGAACAGTTAACAATGACTTAACAAACAAATAAACAAAAAAAGCTCAAACGGTATCTGTGGGCTGTGACTGCAAAGTTACAAGTGGTGGTGTGGCCAGCAAATGCCATGGCTTTCTGCTGCTCCCTCTGCATCACCTGAGCGTCCTGCTTCCCGCTGGCTGCCCCGCAGCATCCCCAGGACACTCGCATTCGTCTGACCACACAGCCAGGATTCAGCATCACAGAACGTGCTTTCTGTTCTATGTGGCCGTGGAGGAGAGAGGTATTAGAGAGGGCTGGAGGGAGGGTGTGGGGAGGCAAAGGAACCACTCGGGAAAGCTTTATACAGGAATTTGCCCTGAATCTTCTGAAAAAAATGTATAGGACTCCCATAAGCAGAGAGAAATGTAGAAGGCATTTTAGGGAGGGAAAGGGGCATGGACAGGGAAGAGCAGTTGGAACAGATGAAGTATATTTGGATGACCGTTCATTTATTCAGTCACTTAATAAATATTTATTGAGTGACGGCTACTTTGTCATTATACAAGTGAATTAGAGAAAGTGCCATGAAGAAAAAGAATAGGTATCTACAAAACAGTATCATTCTAGCTGGGTATGGCAGTATATACCCATCATCCTAGTACTCGAGAGGCTGAGGCAGGAGAATTTTGAATGCAAGTCCAGGCAGGCTTACATAATGAGAAACTGTCTCAAAAAGTAAAACAAAGAAACAAAACAAAACCAAACCCTAAGAACGAACATCATTCTCGGCCTCCCAGGGTTAGGTGACAAAGCGATGAGAGTACAAGGAGTGGGAGGGAAAGAGCAAGGCTGACAGAGCAGGAGGAGCCTGTGGTGTGGGTTCAAGGGTAGTGGAGGGGATGGCACATCTGAAGGCACTGGACTTGCCATCCACTTTCTGAGGCCAGGCCAGCCCTGGGGCAGGGTGGTCTCCGCATTCAACCGGAGGCTTCCCAAGGAATAGAGAGAGCAAGGATTCCTCTGTGACAGTTCCTGACTCCTGTCTTTGGTTCCTGTCCTTGCTTGCAGCCAGGTGATGGGGCCACTGCAGCAGATGAGCACCAGGACCACAGGAAGCTGCAGGTGGGTGCTGCATGGAGTCTACCAGCGGGGGCATCGCAGGGTCTCTGTGTAGCCAGACCAGGACACCAGGGACCAGGGCACTATGGCACCAGGCTGGGCTCAGGCCTGGGAAGCTCCTGCACTGCCAGGAGCTGTCACCTCACCTCAGGTGGCCTTCCAGGAGGTGCTAGTTTGGGAGCTACATCCTGAACGATACAGCTGGCTCTGCCACTGCTCTGTGGCCTTGGGTCTCAGTTTCTGCATCTGTAAAATGATTCTTTGGCTTACACGAACTCAAGTCCTAGTTGCCAGCCCCAGTTTTGCATGACTATTTGATATAATGGCCTAAGTACTTGTGGCTTTAGCATGTCCTGGAACTAAGAGAAAAATATGAAGGACGCTGAAGGGTGTGGGGCGTCTGAGATTTCTGAAAAACAGGATCTGTTTTGGCCTATGGGGTATGTGGAAAGAATTGTGGGGATTTTAAAAGGAGGAGCTGGGGTCTGCAACCTTCCTCACCCAAAGGAAACCACCGGCCTTGTTGTGAAGTGTCACCACATCCACTGGGTGGCAGAGGAATTCAGAGGAGAGAGGTAGGAGAGGGAAGCCTGCGTGGGTCCAGCTGCTGTCTAGGGATGCTCCGCTGTAAGGCAGATGGCATTTCTACGCGTGTCACCATGAATAAGTGCACATCTGTGTACAGTAAAGATGTGTGTGAGTCTGTGAAGGTCTCATAGCACAAGGTAATCAGGGTTGGCAATCAGCAGACCTGTACCCGTCTGACTTTCATTTGCTCCCTGCATGACCTTGGATTCTCACCAGCTAGCTTCTTGGAATTCTCTTTACTTTTTGTAGATGGGGATCACAGCCTTGCTTCTCTCTGGGGCTGGGGCAGTGATGAAAAACCTGGAGCTCTGCACCCACGTGCAGAGGGTCTGTCTTTGGGGTGTGGCTTAGAGGGCATTCCTAGGAGGTTATGCTTGCAGGGGGTTCAAAGCTTGGGTAACATGCTGTCCTTGATACGCATGGTCTGTTTTTGTTGAGCATTTGGGGACTTGTGCAGGACACAGAGTGAGCCAGCCTGGAGGAGCTAGGCGGAGGCTGAGGCAGAAAGCACTGTGGGTGAAGGAAGAAGGTAGCCCAATATAAGGGCTGATCTCTGATCCCCTGTGGGAAGGAGGCAGATGGCGAGGCACTTATGCGGTTCCTCCCTGGTGGGGCAGGGTCCACTGAGGCCTGTGCGGCTCTCCCCTTGCTCAGCTCCAGTCAGTGCTGACCCGAGGGAGCAGCTCAGCCTTGCTGCACAACAGCACCATCCGTACCACCATCTACCAGCTTGTGCTCCACAGCCTGGACCCCCTGGGGGAAGGTAAGCAAGGCCCCCACACCTGCTGGTGTGTCTGCTCCTTCCCTCCTGCAGGGGCAGAAGCACTGGGAAGCGGGCTGGGGGTGGGAAGAGAGAGTCAGCAGGCAAAAGAGTTGGAGGTAAACGTCAGACAGCCCAGGAGTCAGGAAAGTGATAATATAGGGGACTCACCAAGACAGGGCCATGTGGAACATGGATGCTAAGGTCTTCAAGTTGCTGCATTGCATTACTTTCCTGCCTCAGCGTCCCTCCCTGTGGAATGAAGGGGTTCACCTGCAGTTAGGCCATGAGCACCATGTGCCCTGCCCTGGTCTGTGCTGGGCCAGCCCTGTGTTCCGCAGAGCGTCTCCAGCCAGGTGGCTTGGCCCAGGCTGCCTGGCCAGGGATGTTGCTAGGGGACCCTCCTCAAGGGCCTACAGCCCAGGAGCTAGGAGAGGCTCCTCCCTCTGCTCTGTAGTTAGCAGCTAAGAAGCTCACTCAGCGCTTGCCCAGCCAGGAATCCTAAGGGCCACCCTGGAAGCTGCCAGGAACACTTCTGGGGCAGCGGGGGTGGGGGGTAAGAGCTGCATCCAGAGCACAGCCGAGCTTGACAAATGACTCTCAGCAGCTGAGAGTCTCACCATCTCTCTCTCCAGAGAGCTGCCCAGCATGCTCCTTGGCCTCTACTGGTAGCTCATGGAGCCAGTCCTGCTCCCTGGCCTGTTTTTTGGGCCCAAGCAGGAGGCCATCAGAGAAAGGCTGGCCCATATGGGAAGACCGTGGGCTTGGGGTTCAGTGGGCAGAGGAGCTGAAGGCTAAGCCGAAAATGACAGGGTAGAAAGAGCCCAGGAACCTGTGAACAGCCTGTCTGACCTTCTGGGTTCAGGGACACATTTTGGAGGCTCAGAATTTGCATCAGACATACACTGGGTGTCAGGTCTATTTAAACCAAGCAAGTTGGCCTGTTACAAGGAATGTCAAAGACCAGGCAATGGAATGTTCCTGAGAAGCTCCTTAGGTGAGGTCTCCTGTGGGCATCAGCTCCAGAGAAACAGAGCCTGGGGCTTCAGGGTGGGTGGGACACACAGCACCAGCAGCCTCCTCCTGTCGCCCCCCACCTGGCCCACAGGCCCACTAAGGGAAGCTGTGTCTTTAAGTCATGCTTGGCCACTCCCGGAGGAACCACTGACTCTGTCCTGAAGATAAAGACCCAAATGGGACTGCGGGGCTCGCTGCCTGGGCCATTGCGATGACCAAACTGCCCGCTGGCCTACTAGCAGGATTATGTGATGTCCAGGCCAGGCTGAGGGCAGAGGAGATCAATGCTAAGGAGATGATCCGGCCACAGGGAGGGAGAGGCCATGTAAGGAGACAGACACTGTGGGAGCTGCAACAGTCACCCAGGGAGCCCAGCATGCTTGGTGAGCAAGCTTGATCAGAGAGACTCACCTGACTCTGAATCCCAAGACTGTCCAAGAGGGGCTGGGGCCTCCTAGGGCCTCTGCTTCCAAGACTCCTCCAGACACGTTTGTGTGTCACATGCTACTTCCAGAAGGCCGTCCAGGTGTTTCAGGGTCTTCCATAGAACTGATCACGACAGAGACATTTTTTGTGGTCCAGACCCTTACTTCCTACGAAGGGTTTATCTTGCCTAGGACTCCATGCCTCTCTGGGCAATTTCCCTCAAATGCATGTGGGCGACTGCAGTCTGCCTACTCCCCTCAGTGGTGGGGCTATGGGAAGTCAGGGCTTGTGATGACAAACATAAGGGGAACTTAGTTTCTTAGCCAGGAGTCCCCAACAAGCAGTCAACACATGTTCTTGGTACCAAGATGGGAACCGAAGTGCCTTCTGTATGACAGCTCTGCTCTGCTCAATGAAGACTGCAGGGCTTAATTGCTGCCCAGGGGGCATTGGGCTGTCTGGAGGAGGGAGGCAGTGGTGTATCAGCCTCCTGACTTCCTGGTTCCCAGGAGGACCCATGGGAACCTTGGATACCTTGCAGGACCCCAGGTACCACAGTAGTGGCTCTGCAGAGGCAGCTGTGGCTGTACCACCTTGGAGGTAATTCCAGAATTGCTTATCTATTTCCTGCCCACCAAGACCCAGGCAGAAGCTTTGGCCCACCCAGATTCCTGGACTGCACTGCCTCACTTTCCTCACTGGTGTCTGCATTTGGTACTAGATCTCTCTGGAGTCCCTTAGAACTCACACCTCTGGAATGCAGGACCTTATCAATGAGAGTTGTTTCCTGGGTAGGAAAGTGGTTCTCAAGGACTTTATTATCACCACTAGGGTCGGAGGGGGGTTATAGCTCCCCCAAACTTACATAGTGGTTTCTAGGGCCAGGCACGGTTGCAAACACATTCATGCATGAGTGATTTACTCTGTTGACAGTTCTGGAAGATTTTTACAGTCTCATGTCCACAGAGGTTTAGGGCACTGCCAGCCAGGGGCCCAGAATAGATGGCAGGGCACCCATCATCTTCCCACTTGTGCTGTTGTCCTCCCCTTCTCTGGTCCCCCAGTGCACTGCGGGAGGAGCACTCACACACTGCTGCCTTTCACTCTGTCCCTCCTTCTCCCACCTGGAAGGGATCGGAATAAAATGCCTCCAACATGGCCTGGAACACAGTCACATTGGAAGGAAGTTGCCATCCTTGCTTTTCTTGACTCGAAATCAGGGTTACACTATTGAGTGCATGCTGTTCTGGGGCCTCCAGCAAAGCTGGCGTATGGGGATCTAGAAGATGTTCTCTAGCTCCTGGTGTCTGGGGTCCAAAAGGTGTGATCGTGAATGTCTCCATCAGCTGTCCCCCTGGGGAGTGTGACCAGAACAGTGCTGCCTGATTTCTAGAGCATCAGAAGAAAGGTGCAATCTAGCTCAAGGTGCCAGAAGTATGTCTCCTGGCCTTCACAGCCCCATTCTCCGTGCATCACAGATGCACCCAGGGTATTTTTCTACCAGGCTCGGATCAGAATCCTTCTCAGGTCAGCACTCACACAGCCATCATTTGAGCTCATAAAGGAAATAAATCTTAGTTGTTCCTACTCCAACATGTCCTTTTACCAGAAAGGAAAAAGGTCTTGACAGGAACAGTGACTTGTCCAAGCTCATAGCCATTGGTGATAGTGCAGGGAATTTAAGACAAGTGGCTGGATTGGGCACCATGAACAGGCCTAGTTGGGTCAGAATCCAGACATCGAACTCTCAGCCTTGCCCACCTACTGCCACTGCCCTGGCTGCTCAGCTGACAGCAGGGACAGCACAGTGGTCATAGATGTGTTTACTTTCTCCTTCACAGCCCGCCCCTCCAAGGACAAGGAGGAGAGGTTGACTCAGGAGGCCAGAGCTCAACCCCAGACCAAAGCAAAGAACAGAGAAGAAGGTGAGAGGATGACCAGACCAGTGCATTTTCTCCTGCCACCTCCCCACTTCCGGTTGCCGCTAGCTCAGGCCAGGGATTGAGGCTCAGGCCTTGGGCCTTCTGAGCCAGTCAGTTCTGAGGATACCTTGAGGTTGCCCTGCCCGCTCTTAGTGTGTACTTTTCAACATGGGTGCACCGAGTATGTTCTTCCAGTTCCGTGTTCTTCTTGATGGGCAGGCAGGGGAAGGCCTTGTTGAACCCCCACTTCTGTTTTTTCTAAATCTCATTCCAAATGAGGCTCTGTTGGACTATTTCTTCTTCCTATCACTTCTACACAAGGACAGTGTTGCTAGTGATTGGTCTGAAACCAGCAATTCCAGGGAGCTAAGGCTTCCAGGAGTGTGGTGACACAGAAATCCAGTATGAGGCTCAGGGAGGTCAAGTGACTTGCTCAATGCCATACAGCCAAGGAGTGAGAGAGCTGTACCTAAACTTAGCTCTCCAGACTTTCCAAGTCTCCCTCCATCTCAATCCTATTCCAAGGCCCTGTGGCTGCTGCCTTTGAAATAGCAGGATTCTTTCCAAAGACTCCACTAGATCCTGAGCACTGGAAGCTTTGCACTCTCTGCTCCATGTGGCGAGCTGCTTACAGCATCCTTGGCCACAGTGGCAGGGAAGTCTGTGAATATGGGAGTAGCAAGGGTGGCCATGTCCCCTTTGCAGGTCTCAGGAGACAGGGCAAGAACAAGTCATATCACAATCCTCTTATTTTTCTTACCAAGAGGAGATTCCCCCAACAGACCTCCTGAGATCCCACTGTCCTGCAGCCCTGCAGCCACTCACCAGCTTCTGACCTAATCCATGTTTATCCTTTAAAGAGGAGGAGCCAGCCAAGCACCTTGCAGTCACGATCACACCTGCTCCTGCTCCAGACCTCCGGAGAGATCAGGAGGAGGATCCTGGCAGCCAGGTAGGCATGCAGCCTCTGCACGGGTGGAGGGATTCAAGAGGCCCAGGGAAGTACTTTCTGGCCCAAAGTACAAAATCCTATTTGAGTTTTAGCTTTCCAGGGTAAGCTTTATCTTTCTCTGAAATCACTTAAAAAATACAGTTATCTCCCAGGGCCAGTTGATTTACTGTCACAATCTCATACGGTATACTGCCACACTTGGTAAAGACACAAGGAATGGTCAGCCAGTTTGTCAGCAGTAAGGGGACAGTGAGCCAAGCCAGCTCCAGACACCAGGGGGCTGAGACACAGTGGCAGATTTCTGGGTGAAGCCTTGGAACCTTCCCAGTCCTGTTGTCCCTCATCTACAGAGTCCCGATGCCCTGTCTTTACAGCCTCCTTCATTCATGCTCTGGTAAAGCTGTTTCTTGTCTCAGTGCTTCTCTAGCCCCAGGCCTTGGCCCAGGAGCTTCCCCATCTTTGGACTGCCTCATCTTGTCCCACTTGACAGACCCAGTGCAAATGTTTCCTTTCCCAGGCAGCTTTCCGGTGCACCCCACATTGGAAGTGTGCTTTGCATCTGTCTTGGGCCTCTTATCACCGCCTCTCATATTCTAAGACTCTCTTGGTTGCCTTACTAAGGGGTGAGGTTCCTGAGAGCAGGATCCAAGTTTGAGTCATTTTGCAAAGAGATGTCAGGTTGAGTGACTGGTGGTAAATGAATACTCAGTTTGCAAGTTCCATCCCTGTTTTTTTTCAGCACCTGGAAGCATTCAGTTATGCTTCCTTCATAACTCAGTGCTTTAGGGTTCATCATCTAAGCCATCTTCCCGTATCCTGAGTGTCCTGTGCAGGCCCATTGTGGCCTCTCAATTGGGTAGAGTTCAAGTGATGTGGAATTGCATGCAGGGAGTGATGCTTGGTCTCAACAGGACAGAGGCCTCTGTGACCCCAATGGCTTCTCCATCTATTTGCTACTCTCCTTTGTGGCTCCTTCTCTGCAAGCAGGCTCTGCAGCTTGGCTTCTCTGGGCCTCCTGGCTTCCTTTGTTTCCTTAAACGTTCACCCCTCCCTCATGCCCATGGGGGACCAACCAGAGATTGGCTCTCAATCTTATGAGAGAATCTGTTCAGCCCAGGCCACACCAGGGATCCAGCTCCTACTCAGTCAGCCATGGCCAGAGATTGGGGTGCCTGGACTCCTACACAGAAGAGACCCTTCTGTTTTGCTGGGGCTATCAGGGTGACAGTCCTCAGAGATGACGGTGCCATAACTAATGATTTAATGACTTGTCATCACCTCCAGAAGTCTTTACTCCTGATGGGAATGCAGGTCAAGAATTATTTCAGCCTGAAATCCTCTTTTTCCATCCTCAAGTCTAAGCAGAGCCCTTGGTGGATAGTAATAATGGCTTCACCAGGTGTTCTCAGAGATGGCAGCATATTAGAATAATTTGGGGAAACTTAAAAAATTGTTCAGCCCATCCTCAACTAATGAAGACAGAGTATCTGGGGTTGGTCCTTAGGAATCAGTGGTTTGAAAAGACTCCAAATAACCAAGATAGATTATGTAAAGGTGCAAATTTCCAATGATGAATGTCATTATATTGTATACCTAAAATGTACCAATAAAATTAATTTTAAAAAAGACTCCAAGTGACTTTAATATGCAGAACTGAAAAATCACTGAATATCCTTTGGGGGCATTGCCAGCACTGTGGCATTTGTTACAGATGACATATTTATTATGTTTACTTCATGAGCACACAGCCCAGGTCATTGCTCAAGGGGCTGGACTAGCATGGTGTAGGTTAGTTGAGAAACTAATCTGAAGATCCTTAGAGTCAGTGACTTTTAGTGTGGAGACAGTCCATGATTCTTGAATAGTGCTCTGCAGATGAATACATCAGGAGCATGCAGGAGAATGCTTTAGGTCACTGGCGGTCACTGGCATCCAATCCCAGAGATCCTCCAATCCCAGAGATCCTAATTCAGTCGGTACATGTAGACCAGGGCATTTACATTTCTAATGAGCTCCCCAGGCTACCAGGTTTGGGAGCCAAAGGTCTCACTCAGTTCTGGCATTTGTAAAATGGTGACTTGGTGGTGAAGTGACGAATTGGACTACATATATTCAAATCCCAACATTGTCCCTTGCAAACTCGGTGGACCACAGCAAAGTTATTTAGCTTCCCTTTACCCTCATTTATCCATCTGTAATGTGAGTATATTTCTATCTACATTATAAATTAATTGACTCAGGAAATGTGGCAAATTCCATTACTAAGAAGCCATCTATCATGTTGCCTGGGACATAAAAATGTGCAATAAACAAGTATCATCATTATTGCTGGGCACATATAAGGTAATACTGTGTATGACAATTTAGGAGTTTTAGTGGTTGTGACTACCAAAGGATATTGTTAGGCAATAGTAATGGGAGAATCTAAGACAGGGAGCTATTCAATAGGTTCCATTCTGTGAATGCTCTGTGTTCAGTTGGGATGTTCTCTCAGTGGGCATAGAATGAACTGATGAAGACATGAAGGTCACAGCATGGGAGAGGGACAGGAGGCCTGGGAATCTTTAACCCTGTGGAAGGTTCTGTGTGGCTGCAACTAGTGAAATGATAAACTGGGACCAGAAGTTTGATATAAATATGGACTTCAAACCAAGGAGAGCTGTTAAAGATGGCATAAACTGTGTTAGGTAATGAGTTCTCCATCACTGGCAATGACGAAGTAAAAGCTAGACAACTACCAGGTAGGAATGTCATAAATGTGAGTGTGTGTGTGTAGTGGGGTGGAGCTTGAAGGGAAACAAGCAGAGCGGTTGCCACAAATTAATCTGTTGGCTCTGGACTGCAGGAGGATGTGGTTGGAGTGGAGAGGAGAGATGAAACGACAGGTGAAGAGGGCGAAGTTGAGGAGAAAAGTGGAGGGGAGGCTCATTCAGAAGAGGAAGGTGAAGTGGAGGCAGGAAAAGGTGAACATGAAGATAAAACTGAGATGGAAGGAAAAAAGCACGCAGGTGACACTGAAGTAGAAGGAAAAGATGAACAGGAAGATGAAGGTGAAATCCAAGCAGAAGATTGTGAAATGCAAAGTGAAGCTGAAGCACAAGAAGTCAAGGCTGAAAATCAAGTCAAAAATGGGGAGAAAGGTGCAGATGGTGAAGCGGGGAGTGACGGAGATGACAGTGAAGAGGAGGAAGAGGATAATGAAGAAGAGGAAGAGGAGGGAAATGAGGAGCCTCTGTCCCTGGACTGGCCCGAGACCAGGCAGAAGCAGGCCATTTACCTCTTCCTCCTGCCCATCGTGTTCCCATTGTGGCTGACGGTGCCTGATGTCCGGAGGCAGGTGAGTATGCCCAGCCACTCTTCAGCTGGGGACACCCACGGGGACTGGGGCCCTAGACTGTACTTGTGCCTTATGTTTGTCACTATAAGCAGCATGGACTAGTCACTCCTTGGGTCTCATCTTTGTTTATGATTAGTTGGGACTGATACCACTGGTCACGGGGTGTTCTGAAAACCCAGGGCGATGGCTCGTATTTCTACGCAACATTCTTATGTCCAGGGAAAGTTCTGACTAATGTCTTCCATGCAGAGGTAGTTCCTGTTCTGTCTCCAGGGCCAGAGGGAGTGGGGTAGGGGGGACTTGCGAAAGCCCAGCTGAATGCCAAGATGGGTCCACTGCTGGGCCAGCTTGTCTGGTGCCTACTGAGCCCTCTGCTCAGCTCCCTGTCCCCATTCCGTACCCATCCAATTCAAGGCCCTTGCTGGAGAGGCACATTTCCAGATCCTCCTCATGGTGCCCCAGTGAAGGGCCAAAGGCCTTAAGCTTCTACAACTTATTTTTTTTTTTCCTTTGCAATCTTTCCCACAGGAGTCTAGGAAGTTTTTTGTTATTACCTTCCTGGGATCCATCATTTGGATAGCCATGTTCTCATACCTCATGGTGTGGTGGGCTCACCAGGTGAGTGGACAGCAGGAAGTCACTTTCGCACCAGCAGGTCCCAGGAGCAAATTTGCCCATTCAAATCAATTTCCAGCACTCAGGAACTTGAGTACCAAGAGGATATGCAGTTTCTACCTTGTGTGTAAAAGCTTAGAAGGTAGATTTTTATTTCAGTGAGTGTAGTACTTTTCAGGGTGGCTTTCCTTAGTGTTCCTACCAGAGCATGACAGGGGGTCCTTAGTGTCTTGACGGCAGCTTTGTCCTCTTATCCCTTTCCCTGCTTTCTCTCCCGTGCTCTGGAAGCTAGCTCAGCTTTGACCACTCTCTGGCATTTCACTGAGCACTCATGGCTTTTCTGGTCTGCCTATAACTGCACTTAGCAGAGCTGTGTTTGTTTGTGAGTCATTTTATCCAGCTGAGTAGGATCTGTGTGGCACTGTTATACTTTATCAGCCTCTACCTTAGTCCCGGCACACGGCAGGGGTCCACATTTCTGAAATGGGAGCGCTGAGTTGAGTAGACTTTGGAAGGGCAGTTCTTTGGGGGAACTGTTCAAATGATAGCGAGGGGCAGATCTGGTCTCAGGCTTCTATCCAGTTTAGAGGAGCAGCATGGTTCTCTGCAGCCCAGAGCAGGGGCCTTTCTCCCTGTGGCCATTTCTGGCTCTCACGCAGGCAGGCAGTGTGCTGAGGTCCTAGGAAGATGCTGTTTGCAGAGTAGCATGTGGTTAGTTTTTCTCCTGCTGTTTCCAAAACTTGCTGTTTTCCAGGTTGGTGAAACAATAGGGATTTCAGAAGAGATTATGGGCTTGACAATCCTAGCTGCAGGCACATCAATTCCTGACCTCATCACAAGCGTAATTGTTGCTCGGAAAGGCCTGGGAGACATGGCTGTGTCAAGCTCAGTGGGAAGTAACATATTCGACATCACTGTGGGGTGAGTGGCAGCACTACTTTCCAAGGCTTCTTAAGTCTAACTAGAAAACACTATGTTGCCTGTTTTTAGGCTGCTTCATTCATCATATAGGAAATGGAGGGGCATTTATGTTGTTAGTTTTTCCAAAACAACAAAGTAGCTTTCCTTCACTTATCACAGCCAGTTGGGTTAATACAACTAAAATGCTGCCTGCGTACAATTCTAGTTATTTGTGAGGCGGAGGGAGGAGGATCTTGAGTTTGAAGCCAGCCTAGGCAATTTAGCAAGACTCTATCGGGGGCGGGGGGAAGCTGTCTGAAATGTCACTGGTTGAAATTTGTAGATGAAAATTGGAGGCCATCTCATTCCCAAATAGATGTTGAAGGTGGTGGAGGAGGGGTTGGAAGGAGTCATTTCAGTCTGGATTCTTCTGCTCTTTTCATGTGGCCTCCTGCTGGTTCGGGAGCTCTAAAATGCTTCTGTACTCTCCTGCCCACCTTTTCCCATCCTGACCTTGTCAGAGGTTATTTTCAATACCCCAATCAAGTTCTGGATTTGGTTCTTTAATCTGAATATATGTAGGTGCATATCAGTGGCGTGATGGTGAAAAGGCATTCAAGAACCCTGGTCACTAAAGAAAAAACTAAATCAGCTAAACTAGGTTAGTCATATAGAAGTCATGAAGCTGCAGGGGAAGAAAAGATCAGTTCAGAACCATTTTAATCTAGGTTCTGTCGATTAGCTGAGTTCTTGGATAAGTTCTTTCTTTTTCTGGAAACGTAAATTTTATCATCTAGAAAATGGGGCTAATACTTTCTGCTCAATTTTGTAGTTTTGTACATGTGAAAAATAAGTCCCTTGTAAACTGTAAAATCCTACTTAAGCATATGGCATTATTATAAACATTAAGGATATTCATATTGTTTCTTCAATTTTGCAGCTTGCCGGTCCCTTGGCTGCTTTTCTCCCTTATCAATGCGCTGCAGCCTGTTCCAGTCAGTAGCAATGGTTTGTTCTGTGCAATTGTTTTGCTTTTCTTCATGCTTCTGTTTGTCATCTCTTCAATTGCATCATGCAAATGGAGAATGAACAAGATCCTGGGCTTCACCATGTTCCTTCTCTACTTTGTGTTCCTGATAATCAGTGTGATGCTAGAAGATCGCATCATATCCTGTCCCGTGTCTGTCTGAGATTGCTGCGCACAAAGGACATAGGTGGGAAGACCAGGTCAGAAGCTACTGGACCTTGTTACATTAAGGATGAACACTGCCGGGTGTGGTGGCGCACGCCTGTAATCCCAGCACTCAGGAGGCTGAGGCAGAAGGATCGCTGTGAGTTTGAGACCAGCCTGGGCTACACAGCAAGTTCCAGGTCAGTCTCAACTACATAGTGAGACCCTGTCTCAAAAAGATGAACATTAAGGATTGAGCAGCCCACAGCCTCTGGTGTGAATGTGACCTGGGCCAGGGCCGTATCCTTGGAAACACGTGTGGATGAAGGCAGCCTGGTGGGTGGCTTTCTTACCCTGACTCCAGCACATGGCTATCACATGGAGGCAGGAGGAGCCCTGCAGTCAGACATCGGGGGAAGGGTGGGACCACACAGCAGCACCGAGATGAGCCTCCCAATCCAAAGATGCTGGTGGAGTCTAAATCTCACTCTCCTGGCCCTGCCCAAGCACACACCGCAGCTTGCCGTGTCCTCTCTGTTCAAAGGTGAAATTTTACCAGGCTTGCAGTCACTACAGGATTGGTTATTAGGGAGTTAAGGCTACAGGAAAAAGAAAGATAACAGAATCAGTTATCATTCTCCATCATGGTCCAGTGAAGTATATACCACTACTTTCTAGCTTAAAAGGAAGACATTAGCTTTTACTGTGGCATTTCTGGAAGGCGAAATTCAAACACAAAACAGTCAGAGAAGTGAAAATTCATTATTTGCCCTTGATTTGGAAGAAGTGGAGAATAGAAAAGTACTCTAAGGGCTATTTAAAAATTTATACTTACTAGAAAACCCAAATTCGGTTGTTTCCATCAGTGGTGACCTCGAGGGACTAGGCATTCCAATAAAGCTGCCCTGGCACTGCCCTCACACGTTTTCACTGAGCAGTGATGTGATTTTATTTTTATTTTATTTATTTTTTGGTACTAGTGATTGAACTTGGGACCTTGCACTTGTGAGGCAGGCAGTGGGACCACTGAGCTAACTCCCCAGCCCAGTGATGTGATTTTATTTTTATTTTTTGGTACTGGGGATTGAACTCGGGTCCTTGCGCTTGCAAGGCAGGCCACTGAACCGCTGAGCTAAATCCCCGGCCAGTGATGTGATTTTAAAGAGCCCAAAGTCAGCAGACTCAGATCTGGTTTATAAAGCAAGCAATCCAGGCAGACAGTTCTATTTTTGGTACAACCTTGACAAAATTATAAAGCAAGACTGATTTCTTGTGTCATTTATAAGTGGATTTTAAGGCAGTTCACAAAGAAGAAATTCTAAAAATAATAATGAGGTAAGAAAAAAGTATCACTAAGTTAGCTACTGTGAAAGACATGTATCTTAAAAATTTGTCTTTAGACTTGGGCGTGGTGGTGCATGCCTATAATCCTGGCACTTGGGAGGCTGAGGCAGGTGTATTGCCACGAGTTTGAGGCCACCCTGGGCTATGTAGTGAGTTCAGGGCCAGCCTGAACTACACAGGGAGACCCTGCCTCAAAAAGCAAAACACCAAAAATATAAAACAAAAAAAATTTTATGTTTAAGCACTTTATGTGGATTTTGATAGCTTTATGTCACTGGTTTCAGAGCAAAAGGAGTTTAGGTAACCTCAGATTATGATGGAAAATATGGCTTTAATTACAAATATGAGGGATGCTTCACTAAAGCACAAAGACAGTGGGACAGACATGATGTGAAAAAACAGTATTAATCATTTGCTGTTGAATGGCTAAGACAAGTTGTTTTTTTTAATTAACTGATGCACTATTTCAGATTGCCTATTCTTTGAAAGTAATTTTTATTAAATTGCAATAAAAATGTGAGTCCTAGTGGCATTTTATTTTATAAACATGGGTGGGCTCATCCCTGACTTAGATCATTTGGTCAGAACAGTGAAGCATATGAAATCTTGTTCCAGTTTCATATGCTCAATTATCCTCATTCTTGCTGCTATACTGTGGTATCTCTACATGCCAGGGCCGAAGACCAGGAGGACAAAACAGTACCGAAATTCCTGGTGCCCAGCTCGTGTCTGCACCAATTCCAGGTGGACTTGAGGATGTCACCTCCTCACTGACAGCCTAAGACCTGCTGCTGTTCATCACACTGAGTGAAGAGGGATGGGTGGTCACACGTTCTGTACTGACAGTGTGGTAAGATAGCCACTTAATAATTAAAGCCAGTTCTCACTATCTACTATGCTATTCCCAATCGGTGTGCTGAAATTCAGGCACTTCCTTGGCCTCCAAATGAAGTGTGACACCAGCTGGGCACCAGGAATTTCGGTACTGTTTTGTCCTCCTGGTCTTCGGCCCTGGCATGTACAGACACCACAGTAGAACCGCAAGAATGAGAATAATTAAGCATATGAAACTTGAACAAGATTTCATATGCTTTACTGTTCTGACCAAATGACCTAAGACAGGGATGAGCCCACTCATGTTGGCCTCCAAAGGAAGTTCTTATCACTTTACGTTGTGACAGGAAAGGACAAGCACAAAAATGAAAGCTGAGTCTTGGTGGGTAGGTAGGAAATTTGGGTTGGGGTGGAGGTAGAGAGAAGATATCAAGGAGATGGAAAACAATGAACTTCTAAAAAATCAAATTTTATTATACATTTACAAATCTATAACTTACTAACATCATACCTTTTTAGAGGTAAAGTACCATTTAAAAAAATGTTAAGATGGGCTGGGCATGGTGGTGCATGCCTGTAATCCCAGCACTTGGGAGGCTGAGGCAGGAGGATCGCCATGAGTTCAAGACAGCCTGGGATACATAATGAGTTCCACGTCAGTCTCAAATATGTAGTGAGACCCTGCCTCAAAAAAAAAAAAAAAAAAAAAAAAGTCAAGATAATATTGTTTGGCCCTCTCACTTGACAGGTCAAATGATCTGTATAATTACCTGGGGCAATTTCGAGGTTATTCATTCAGCCAAGAAAGTCTGAGCGCTGTTACCTCGCAGGTGTCTGAACTGGAAGACAAAGGCTAATGGATGTGATAGGTGACTTTGTCTCCCTTGGGTTGGCTTTCCTTGATGGCCCTGGTAACATGTTTGTGCTAGATTTCTAAAAGTGTAAAATGGGTTAAGATTCTATATAGTACCTGAAAAAGGTCTATTCCACAAAGTTTTGAAAATTGATATGTTTAAACTGTTGCTATACATTTTGAACATTATACTGTATGGTCATTATCTGAAAGTTATTTTAAAAAGCAGAGGATTTTTTTTAAAATCACACTGTTTATATCACAATTATCCTTTAAAAACTGAGCATCAATGTGGGTGGGAACTAGGATTTAATATTTAGGGCACAATCTGGTAGATAAACAGAGATAAACTGGTGGGTCTTATATGCCAATGAATACCCTTAGTTCTGACCTTTTTTTGTGGGAGGGTCCCCTATAAGTGTAGACTGCATTGTATTCAGGGACTTGTCACTATAAAAGATGCGAAGAGAGGGCTCATGGACAGGCCTGTCCATCCCTTGGGGTTGCTAGAGCTTGGCAGGTTGCCCTGGCATAAGTCTCCTGCACAACCAAAGGTGCATTTCTGGTGTTCAAGTCCTGCACTGTGATGAGCAAACACAATCTGGAGAAAATGAATTATAGAAAAGTCCATCAGTTACCCCATATTTATTACAGTATTAAATTTGAAAAGAAAATCTTTTAGCTGGGTGGGGTGCTGCATGGCTATAATCCTAGCACTCGGGAGGCTGAGGCAGGATGATTGCTTTGAGTTTGAGGTCAGCCTGTTCTCCACAGTGAGTTCAAGGCCACCCTGAACTACACAGTGAGACTCTGTTTCCAAAAAAAAAAAAATCTTTAAATTCAAAAGGATGGAGCCATCCAAAGGAATAACAACAGTCGTAAAGGTTACAGTAACTTCATCAGAAGAGTCTGTTACCATCTCAGAATATAAGCACACGTATAAAGACTTTCAGAATCAGAGAAAAAAAATCCTATATTGCTTTGAGCTAAACTGCTACTATCACAAACAAAAACAATTCCTCCAGCAAATGTGCTTTTGCTGAGGTCAGATGAAGATGGTACGGTAACATTGAAGGGTGATAAGACACAAAGTTCTGAGAATATTAAGGTAAACCGGCTTGTAGCTGCTGGATTTCCATTTTGAGATGAAGTTTAGTGTTGTATCCAAACAGGAAGGGGCGGAGCACGCTAACTCCAGCACAAAGGCTGAGGGTCCTCTTGGAGAGGCGGTCTGCTCTCTCCCTTCTTGCTCTGAGACTGAAGTACCTAACAGTGACTTTTTATGTGCTTTTCATTTGGAAGGAAGAAAAATAAAGCTGGATTACTGCACATTACCAAACAACTATTTCTTTCTACGTACTACAAAGCGTTTAAAAATACAACAAAACTTCTATAAAGAGCTAACAGTTGCTAGTTGCACTAAAGTATAATAATAATTATCAGCATTTAGTAAAAATAAGTATTTATTGTCTAAAATGTTGAGCCAACAATTTTCAGGGCCATTTCTCTACACACAAAAATGGGGAGGCATATTAGAAAACTTTAAAATAAGCTTGTAGTTTTAGGGTTTAAAAAAAAACACTTTAGAAGAATCAGGAAAAAAGACAGCTGCATAACTTCCTATCTGGCAATAGGAGGAAAAAGTTGAAATCTGAAATAAGATATAAAACACCAAAGAGTGACACTCAGACATAATGAGAGAAAGAAGTAAACAGATATTACTAGTACAGGGCAGGATTTTATTTTTAACAATTTAAACATATAAGCAAAAGAGGAAGAAAATAAGAGATAGCATGGTAAAAGAGCATCTCGCTCAAACATCATTGGCCATGATTCTTCAAAATGTGTGGTCAACAGAGAGAAAATTGAAAAGTTTGTATAGCATTCTTTAAAGGATGATCCCTATTGTAATTCTCTTTGGAGCAGAGCTTACCATTTTCTACTCATGTTTCAGGTTTTATTTTTGTTTGTTTGTTGCAGTGCTGGGGAATGAACACAGGGACTCATCCATGATAGGCGAGTGCCCTACAGCCAAGCCACATCTCCCGACCCAGGTTTTATTTTTTAAGAATTTTTGTAATAATATTCTCTAGGGATTAAAAATAGGGGAA